AAAAACATACGTTTCAATCTCTTTTTAATCTCCATTTTGTTATCTTTCGTAATATTTGTACAAAAGAATTTAAATAATTTAACCCGTTCATACATTACATTGGTTACTCTTATGTTAATTTTAATTTTCGTTCTATTCGTAAACAATTCGTAACCATATATATTAATATCCTTCGCTTTTTAAAAGACTTCGATGAAATGAACCTATGACAGAAATCATTTCAAGGCCTACCTCTTTTACTGCATTAATTAGTATTTTTGCATTTGTTTTAATTAATATTTTTCCTTTAGCTGTAATTACATATATATTAATCGTAAAAAGTACAGGTTTTATAATCTCATTCGACGTAACGTCTTGTTTCTTTTCCAATACAAACTACAATGCATATTTCAGGACTAGATTAAAAGATAATGTCAAAACAACGTCTTCCCGTTTCAAGATATCAAGGATTTCGAAAAACTCCGATAAATTATCTCTTATTTTTATTTTTTTTCGACATTTTCATTAATTATAATATAAATTTGTGTTAATTTAACTAAATTTTTGGGATGTTTAATATCATGATTATGCATCTTATCGTTCTTTCCATATATTCTTATTTATTTTCAAGGACTTGCCTAATTGTAAATATTTTATTGGTTGTTGATTGATTTATATTGCGATAAAATCCATACTGGTAACCACCAATGATTTCATATTAAATATAAGTTTATTTAATAGAACTGTAAAGATTTTTTAACATATAGACAACAAATAGATTCCCTGGTAGTTATTGCAATCAGTTTTGTTTCCTCTTTTTTAAAGATACAAATAATTATTGACTCGTTCGATTATTTCGATAGAGTTTCTTTTTTTCATACCGTTGTTATTGCTTTTACTGCGTATTTATACAATTCACCGACTAGTTAATCAATTCCTGAAGCTTTGTTTCTATTCAATTTTTGAATCACGTTATGTATTTATTATTTTACTTTAAAAGTGTACTTTAAAAGAATGTACTTTAACTCGAGGTTCAACAGTGTGAATTTTGTTAACATTTACTAGAATCGCAGTCTTTATTTACTATTAAATAATTTATGTTAAAATAGTTTTTCCACGTATTATCACTTATTTAATAATTGTATAAAAAATAAATCTTTTTAAAATCGATTATTCAATATCGATTAATTCTATTATATTAAATTATTTAAATCTCAGAAATACATTGTATATTCCTAATAAAAAAAATTCCTTTAGGCCAATGTACCAAAATGCATTCTTTGTCTTATCAAGGTCCTCAGTTTCCTACTCTCTTGCTTTCCGTTTCGTATAATCATCAATTATCACTACTGGTCATTCAGTTAACACTATTAGACCTCGCGACATGACATTCATATGTTGAGAATAATACGAGGAAGTGACGTAGTTGTTGTTTTAAGATTTGCTTTATCAGAAAATATTCTTATTTTTTAACACATTGACTGTTAATCCAATCCCTGGCCCATAACAGTCAATGTGTTAAAATTATTTTTAAACAAATGTCATTTAAATTCATAAACGATCACCTGTATGATTCGATAAAGTTTTCTCGTTGTTAATCGATTTGATTAAATAATTGATCACATTTGTTATTAAAAAAAACGAGAAAGAATGAAAATAAAGAATAGACTATAATTATTTAGAAAAATAGTAAGATAATTGTTATTTTTTTTGCTAATTTTGTTAAACTCTTACTTTAGGCAAACCTTAAATACAATGTGGATTATATTATAACATTTCGACAACAATTGATTGTTTCCTTTGCGAAAAACAAAATTCTTTGATATATTATAACATGCTCCAATCAATGAGAAACTTCGTAGTCAACTAAAAAATATATAAAATCAGAAAATTCCATATAAGGAAAATCTATAAAACAAATTTACAAAAAATTTAAAAGAAAAATAATTCGAAATTATACCAAAAGAAAATCATAACGTATTATAACACTTATAAAGCAATTTCTCAATGTTATTTCAAATGTTTCAATAAAACCCCCATTTAATAAATGCAAATATATTTCTCTTAAGATTATATGATTTAGTATTATTATTTAAAGTAAGTATTATATATTTTTTAAGTTTAATACTGCTGAAAAATTTTGTCGACGTATTCTTTAAATAATATCTGAAAAATAATTCACACACAGTATATAAATATTGTAACAAATAAATTATTCTTTCGATCCAATCATAATATTGAAATGAATAGGTACTAAATCATATTTTTTTATTTTTACTAAGAAGAAAATAAATTTAATTTTTTTTATTTGTTTTTTTTTTTTTCCAAAGATTATATATGATTATATTTGAACAAGTTCGAAACTGAGAAAATAATAGGAGAAAAATTGTGAAAGGTGAATTCTTGATGCCCATTGCTCGCGCACTTTATAACGCGAAAATAACGCACTTCTTCCTTGTATTGATTCACCTACACTACTACCTCGTATCACATCGTTTTATTTACCAATTCTGAATAATAATATCCTTAGAGAACTAAGGAAAAAAAATGACAAAAAAAGAAAATTAAATAAGCGTTATCGCTTTCATTGGATGTAAGAATTTATTTTGTATTTTTTTTCGGAACATTAAATAGAAATAAAAAATTATTAAAAAGTGAAGAGAAAAAAACAAGAAATAGTTTAAAATATTAATTGATTGATTTTATTTTACGTTTAAAAGGATTGTGTTATTTTTTTTTCACCTTTTTAACTCGCGATTGGTAATATAAACTGTAATCTTGAGAAGGAAAAAAAAAACCTCTTTATTTTCTTTGAAATTTCGATATAATTGGCAGGTTAATATATTTAAATCAATAATCGAATTTTCTGAGAAAATTTTTACTTTAAGATGATTCGTCGAATGCATTAATGCACTTTCGACTATTTATCTCATTCAATGTTTAAAAGTTTACGTCATATACTCCTCTCCATTAATTAATTTTGATGGTTGAGAATTTAAAAAATAAGAAAAAAAGAATGTAATTAAATTAATATGCATGAATTTATTATATGATAATGTTTAAGTCGTTATATTAGGCTCCTTCGAAAAAAAAAACGTACGCGAGACAATCCACTCAACCTCTAATGTAAAAAATGACATTATTGATTTAGCTCAAATCTTATTCGAATTTTTTATTAAGCCGTTCGCAAAATATGAATTTTTTTTAGTAGTTTTTTTTGTAATGCTCATAATTTATTTAAAAATGTATCAATTCGAATGTTTTTTTTTTTTAAATTAACGCAAATTGTCACAATTTCGAAAGTCTTTTGTACATTTTGCTATCACATTTGATTTTAAATGATCTTTATTAATGGGTTGCTGAAACCCTTTTAACACTCGCATTTTGTTTAAAAAAAATTAAGGAAATAAGAATTGAAATTTCCTCTACCTTCGTCTTTACGCAAACAACACAAATAAACATCATGTACACATTTTTAAATATTCAAAGTGGATACAATAATTTATCTTTAGATATGAATAGTTAGAATAAATTCTTAAAACGATAAACAGATCATTTTTATTCATTTTTTCATACTCTGCAAGAATATTGTAACAAAAAATATTTAATGAATCTAATTATTCAATTATCCTATATATACAGATTATTTTATTATTTATTTACCTATCTATATAGAACCACAATTGATAAACAATAATTAATAAATGTAAAAAAAATCATCTTTTTTTGACTCTGTCACTGAGAAATTCAAAATGAAAGCTTCAGAGAAATAATTTAGTGTATAGAAAGTATAAAGAATTATTTATTAAGAAAAAAAATCATACGTTGGTATCTATTGCTTAGCTGCTACACATCGTATTCTCCCTTTGTTTTTTTTTTTTTTTTTTTTAGATTTACACGTTTTAATAAAATGAAGGGATAAACGTTTTATACAAGCGTAGACTGCGTTAGAATAAATTGCGGAAAAGGACAATGTTTCCCCTAACGCGTTTTTAGTTCTTCTTTTACCCGTATCAGTCGCTGAATGCACACACTATTCGAGCGAGAAAAGGTGGTGAACAGCATACTTAAACGCATACGTAACACTAACGTGCACATATATATATACACAGAAATGCACATATACACATAATAGATCGTCCGTTATCTTTCCCATTTTTTCATGTTCTCCCTCAAACACGATAAAAAACAAAATCTATCCGAAATTTAACCGGTTATCTAATAACGTTTATGAAAATAAAGTATGTTAGGGGGTTCTCTCTAGGGAGAAACATAAATTTTCATCCTTATACATAATATCGGTTTATATTCCATGATACGACATGAGAGCGAAAATGCATTATGATGATGACAAGCGACAGAAACCGAGGGTTTGTCTCTCTTCTGCATCTACCTTGCGCAGAACGTCGAGCAAGTACTGTATTATATACATAACTCTTTTATCTCTTGGCCATTATCTTAAAATCACCTCATCGTATTAATTTCATTTCAAACGCGACATTTGTGTATTTAAAGAGGAAACGTTATCGAGGGTTGTAACGTCAATGAGAAAGAAAGAGAGAGAAAGAAAGAAAGAGAGAGAGAGAGAGAGAGAGAGAAGGAGGGAGAGAAAGGGGGAGGAAGAGAAAGAAAGAAAAAAAGAGAAAAAGAGCAAGAAAGGGAAAGAGATGGTCTTTTTCATACAATTGTTAAGGATAAAAATACGTCCGGGACATTCGGAGGGAGAAGATCTGAGATGTGTCAAATAAAATGAATCAGCTGAGAAATTGAAAATGAAAAATTGAGAAATTGAGAAATTGAAAGAGAGAAAGAAAGAGAGAGAGAAAGAAAGATGTAAAGAGAAAAATAAAAATTAAAAATAAAAGAAAGAGAAATTTAGAGAGAGAGAGAGAGAGAGAGAGAGAGAAAAGCACGAAGATATCGGGCGCGCACCTTGGCAATGCGTGTGATAGATAGGCGCGGCTTTTCGGCCTGTGCCGCGCAAAGAAAACTCGCACTTATGTCACTGATAATCTTCCTACCTCTCGTGTCTGAGCGATCCCTTCTTCTCACCGAATATTCTTCTTTCTATGAGTGTCCTTGGTACTCCCGGTTTAACACAGGATCACGAATTTCTCGCGTTCTCGATACTTTTCAGATCGTGCCCGTTGCACGCCAACCGAGTCCGCCATCTTGGGGCAACTGCCAAATCCCTGCAGGCCGGCCAATTGTTCGCTTTAAAAATTTCATATGCTTCAAATGTGTTCTATTTTAATTTTTTCTCTTTCTTGTTTCTTTTTTTTTCTTTTTTAATATTTCTTCTTCCGTTCTTTTTTGTTCATTCTTCTATCCTTTATCTTTTCTTACAATACGAGCATATAAACCGTTCGAGTTGCTTTCTTCTTCTCAACTACTTAATTTTATCTCCCACTACTTGGAAATGGATATATTTCCGATTAACCGATAAGATGTCTATTTTTATTGATTAACGTTCCTCTATGCCTTCGTAGAAGCATTTTATACGTTTCTTCAGAMCCAGCCATATCTTGTTCCTTTCTTGTCCTCTATTATGTTTTCTACGCGCATGGTTATCATTCTTATTCACCTATGTTTCCATCTATTCATCTATCTATACCACACTGCTGTATTGTTATCATTCGCTTTTGCGTCAGGTTTACCACCATTTTTTGCAACATTGTTTCCACGAATTACATTTATTCCTTCTTTTTCGTTTGTATAATAAATACGATTGTAAACAAATAATTGTTAAAGGAATGATTTTTTATTTCATAGACATTATACCGAATCTTTGCTAGTAACAACGTTTTTGTGTAAAATTAATAAAACTCGTGCAATTTTCATTGAATCGTTTCTTAGTTATGTATTTATGTTCATTCGAAATTTCTTTCATGATTTCTTTATCAATATACTAACAAAATATTAGCTCTTCTTTATTCAATTTTTAGTGGACTTGCAATATGATTGGTCACAATGCCGGTAACTAGTCGAATAAGAAGATCAGTATTTTCTTTTTTTACGAAAAACGAATTTCTATTATACATTAAAAAACATTTGTAATTTTTCATTATACTTGACAATATAAGTTTTTCCTTATTAATATTGAAAAAATGTATAGATTTGAAATTATTTTAATTTCAGTGTAATTTTTCTTCGATTGGCAATACTATTTTAGCACCTGTCATTGACAGTAAGAGCGGTACAATCAATTTTTGCAACGTGAAGAAATACTTTCATTTGCACATCAAATTTAATATTATTATAATATTTTACTAATTCGTATGGGTTTATTTACGTTGTTTTTTATTTCAATAGATGTATATTTTGTACTTAATTATATCACGAATTAATAATTTATATCCGAACAAACAAAGTTTGATTATTCATGAGTTTTTTTATTCGTATTGAATAAAACAAAATCGAAACGTTCAACACATGTCCGTTCTTCGGTAGTGTATATGGATGGATCTTCGAAAGCATAATAAACGTATACCTCTTATTTATTAATCTTTTTTCAAAAGGTTGATAAAATTATATTTCGTGTTTATTCTTTCCTTATAATTTATTTAGTAAAACATGCTACAAAAAAACCAATAGAATCTTGTTCAGGTCCTATCCTAAGTAGGCATTTTGATTCATTTTCTGTTAATCCGTCAATACTATATCCTGTGTGTGTAAATGTTTTCAAATCTAATTGACCTTTGATAGACTTCAATTTTAAATACGGATATTTTTTTAAAGCCCATGAGACGATACCTTCATTCTCAGCTATTGTTATAGTACAAGTACTATATACTAAGATTCCATTTGATTTCAAAAGTTGAACGGCCTATATATATAATAAAAAGTAATTAAAATAATAACAGAAAATTAAAAAAATTGAATTCTTTAATTTTTATTAAACTTACTGTTGAAAATAGTGACTTTTGCATAAACACATATGAGCGAAGCTGCACAGCAGTAATTTTACTAAGTAGTTGTGGTCTTTGTCCTAACGCACTGCATGGACTGTCTAGTAATATACGATCGAAACTATTTTCTTTAAATGGTGGCCCATCGTTAATATTCGAATTATTTATATGATTGTTACAAGCTTTTGTAGAATCATAACAAAAGATTTTTACATTACCACTTGAGAATTTATCACAGTTTGATTGAAGTTTATCTAATTTTGATTTGCTTCTTTCAAGAGCTATTAAAGTACCCTGAAAAATGTAACACAGTTTATTTTCAAGTGTTAGTTCTTTGAATAGATATACGTAAATTATTTATCTTCTACCTCTCCTTTCATAAGAGTTGAAATGTGTGTGCATTTATTTCCTGGTGCCGAACACATATCAAGAATTATTTCTCCAGGTTGTGGATTTAGAATATGAGTACAAATAATTGATGGTAAATTTTGTAATAATGCCCATCCATCAGGTACTGAATTATTATTTAATTGTAAAAGTCGAGAAATTACATCAGTCATATGTACTGCAATTCCACTATATATATAAAATTACATACGTTATATTATAATTTTATTTGTACTAATTTATAAATTAAATCATTTTCATGTTATCATGACGTTTTACCTTGCACTTTGCCCGTTATTACAAATAATATTTTCTCTTGTTTGTAGAAGAATTCCATTACCCAAGAATGTTTTATTATTATTATCGACTTCGGATGGTTTAAGTAATCCTTTTCTGCAACACCCGACAGTATCCGCAAATACACTTACTTCATCTCCTACATTTAAACCTAATAAATATAATATTGTTATTTGTATACTTTAACAGATTAAAAATATCTAGACAAATCATTAGAAAATATACCGTGTGGGATTCCTAAAATTCCTGGAGCAAATACATGTGAACCTCTTAATACAGCTGATCCACATATTGCATCAACAATAACTTCTTTCGACCGCTTCAATAAATCTAATTTTATTGATTCATCCCAACTATGTACTGTAATTATGTCTGATAAATGAGGGAATGTTGTTATTGTTGGCATACGATTTACATACTGCTGAATATTATAATTTCTTTAGGATTATATGACTGTAAAGACCTGTACTTATTTAAATAAATGTTTATTTACCTGCTTTAATGCATTATTTAAATGCTCTATTACTTGTTGGACCGTAGTTTTTAACAAATTAACTCTATAAACAGTACTTTTTGGCGTACTATAGATCCATTTATACAGAGAATTTAATATTTTCTAAATGTAAATGTAATTGTTATAGCTTTATATAATGTAAATATATAAATTGAAAGATGATGGAAAGATTTACCTCAACCTCTGTTTCTTCTATATACACATTATTAATCTTAATTTTCTGAAAATCTTTTTTTAATACATTATGTATTTCTGTATGAAATTTAAAAGGCATTTTTAAATCAGTAACTTCTATAGCCGACATATTGAATTTTATATTTAATTATTAAACATTAATGATATTTTTTACCAAAGTATACACTTTTAACTTTACTGAAACTAGATATTTGACTTTGTTCTTATTCAAAGAATTCTATATCTATATAAAATTATTTATACTATATATAAAATATATATAATACACTTATGTAGTTGATCTGAGCAATTTTATGCTCACATGTTATCATTGCTAACCTAATAAATAAAAAATCATTGACCAATTAGAAACAGTATCGAGAAATCCTCTCGACCAACCAAATACAACGATTTAAGATGACACGCAGAGAACGAAACCGACATGACACCTAGCAGAGTTTATTTGAACGAAAATAGATTTTGGAAATCACGTGATCGGCTTAACCAATAAGAGAATTTCGAGGATCCTATACGTGGCATAAGGCATGAATCCTTTCCACGTCCGCCATTTTGACATACGGTACTTTTCGAGAGTGTTGGTTTTATGTTTTATCGTTTCTCGTGAAAAATAGTCTTTTTTACTGAAACGTAAGTAACGTAAAGGTGATATATCTACGTGGAAGGTGTCGTTATAAAGGGTTCTCAATAATCAGGCCAAGTTTAATAAATAATGGAAGTTTGAGCGTGGAACCTTTGACGATTCGCTGGGGAGTAGGTCGAAGGTGACAGACAACCGGGTGTACGCAGTGGCTTCGTAAACCGCACAATATCCCACGCCTTGTTTGCAATACTACGATATTGGCTTATTAAGTAGCCAAGACATTTTTAAAGTGCATAAACCTACAGCAAAGCACTCTAAAGATATATATATAATATATATATATATATAAGGGTATGCAAGTCTGATAATCATAGCGATGTATTAAAATGAGAATCAATAGCGCGCAGCGTGATCATCTCGTGCGTGCCTCCACAAGTTTTTTCTTTTTTTTCATATTTTTCTTTTGTTTTGGTACTTTTGATCAAATTCGTACTATATGTTTCATTAGATAATTTCTCTATTTTAATTAATTTTATATATATATATATATATATATAAGTATATATATATACCTAGTATATATATACATATTACATGTATATATATACTATATATATACCACGGTATTCAGGTTAACTTGTTAGACTCGATTGACAAGTGCATGATAAATTTCTATGCGTTTGTGAATTTGCAAGGTTTACGTGGCCAAAATTTTTTCCATTTTTTACGTGGGCATTTAATATGAATTAGGGCATTTAATGTAAACGTTGGGAAAGGTATCATCAATAGCGTATTTCTTTTGTTTGATTTTTTTTTCTCTTAGTACAATGGACTTTTTTTTTTATGTAGTATTTTATTCCATAAAATCGTGATTATAAATGTTCTTTGCAGCCTTTATATATATCTCATTTGTTGATAGAAATAGTAAATAATATATAAATACATATATATGTATATATATAATATTTATATTATATGTATAATATATGTATAATTATGTTGAGTTAAAAAATAATAATGGCACTGTGACTGAATTGTGTGTCACGTATCTGACGCATCTTATTTTTTTTCTAGGTATAATAAAATTTGTCTACTTTCTAACTGAAATCGATTCAATAGGTACTTTTTGCTTTAGTAATTTTTAGAGTTTAATCAATTTTTAATAGGATATTTAATTAGGATTCTTATGGGGTTCCATAAGCGTAAAAAGTTCAGTAGCAATATTTGGAGCAATAGCATACAATTGACAGCAATCTTTGTAATGAATAACGATAAAGATTTAAATGTAATATTCGATGTAAAAGAGATAGTTTTAAATATTTAACTCATTAATGGACATTTTGTTACAGGTATCTACATAACTAATACCAGCCATGGGGAATATGTTTGCAACATTATTTAAAGGCCTCTTTGGTAAGAAAGAAATGAGAATTTTGATGGTAGGCCTTGACGCAGCTGGTAAAACAACTATTCTGTACAAATTAAAATTAGGGGAAATTGTTACAACAATTCCTACTATAGGTAAATATAAACATATGCTTCTGTTTTATCTGTATATGTATTATGTAATATTTAAATATATTATTTAAGAATCAATGCTTTTATCAAATTATTCTTATTTAACTTCTAATATACTGAACTAATGAAATAGTTTTTTTGTACAGGGTTCAATGTAGAAACAGTCGAGTATAAAAACATAAGTTTTACTGTATGGGATGTAGGTGGTCAAGACAAAATTAGACCTTTGTGGCGGCATTACTTCCAAAATACACAGGCATGTTGTTTCTTTCTGTCATATTTTTCAAATTAATTTATGAAGTTTATTTGTAACTGATTTTTTAATTGACTTAATACTTTATTGTTTTAGGGGCTTATATTTGTCGTTGATAGTAATGATAGAGAACGTATTGGCGAGGCACGTGAAGAGTTAATGAGAATGTTAGCAGAAGATGAACTCAGAGATGCAGTACTTTTAATATTCGCTAATAAACAAGTAAGTATTATATATATAAAATAATTACTTTAAACAATTTTTATTTATAATAGTTGTGACATGTTTGAAATTCTGATATACTAAATCGTACATTATTATTTATGTAATTTATTTTAGGATCTGCCAAATGCAATGAACGCTGCAGAAATAACTGATAAATTGGGTTTGCATTCTTTACGTAATCGCAATTGGTACATACAAGCAACGTGCGCCACAAGTGGAGATGGACTTTATGAGGGTCTAGATTGGCTCTCCAATCAACTAAAAAATGCCAACCGCTAATCGGAACGTTATTTTGTCAACATTCAGTTGCTATATTAACATCATAAAAAAAAACAGCTGCACACCCGTCCCCCCTCCCATGAACGAATAATATTTTAAAAAGAGCAGTAACACTGTGTACGAAGCGCAAGATCTTTTGGATCTTGAGTGGAGGGTGAACAGGTTATCATATGTTGTCACTACTGTGCCAGATGATGTTTTGGGGGGAGGGGAGTGGGAAAAAATGGTCGTGAGCACACACCATCGAACGACCACACAGGACTATTGCCTTGAGCAAATTATTATTATAATTATTATTACATTAGCATTATAGTTACACTTTTTACACAGAGATACCGCAAGAAATGTGGAACAAAACTTGAAGTAATTGTATTAAAGTACCTAAACTCTTGAAACATACAATACACATTAATTAATTAATTAATTGAATAATTTAAATATCTTTGACAAAAAAAAAAAAGAAAAGAAAAAGAAGATTTAAGAAAAAGACAAATGCGTAAAGTACCCACGGTGTTGTCAGTTTGAATGCGTTGGACATACTGATTATCATAATGTAGCTGCATATTGTACATTACATTATATAAATACGATGATAAAATGTGATCAATAGATGGTGAGAGAATGTTGCTCTGTCCATTAAAAATTGCAAAATGTTTCATAGGCCCATCAGTTTAAATAGAAGCAGAGAGTTAAAATAACTGACGGTGCAACGACTTACTGTTTCTAGAGTTACACATAACAACAAATTCGTTTCTATTTTTTTAAGTTGTTTTTTTTTTTCACTAAATAGATTTTGAAAGGGATAAAAATAAAACTTGGAATTATAATATAAACTACATATGATTGTTTCGTTAGCACTATGCGTGTATGTGTGTGTGTAACAGCAGGTGCAGTAATTGCACCCTCCTCCACCTGCTTAAACTAACACAAAACAGCGAGCCAATCATATGAATTAAATCTCAGTGTATAAAAGAGATATCATTTATTTATTACACCTTGATAAAAAGGTTAATTAGAGAAAAGAAACAAATCGTCGACATTCCGAAATTATTGCAGCGACCATAGCGGAAAAAATTCAGGTGAATTATTAAAAAAAAAATAAATAAAAAGAAAAAAAAGAAAGAAAAATAAGATTATTCTTTAGGAAAAGAATCAAGAAATAAAATAAATGAAAAATCTCTCACGTCGATGAGAGAGGATAGGCCTCGCAATCTTTAAGCGCCAGAAGATCCTGGCTGATTATAGGCAAATACCAGCCTTCTATATCATCATTTTGAAGCCGTTTCACGAATCCATCTTCTCGACGTCCTATAATATCTTTTTTCTTTTCTTCTTCTCTCCTTTTAAAATAAATTGTTTTTAATTAACTAATCCTCCCCCTAATTGACAGTATCGCCTTTTCGTCACATGCAGAAAATTCGTATAATTATGTATGAATGTTTAAACAACTTGTGAAATATACTGTAATTGTGCTTTATATAGTCCATGTATTATTTGCCATTGAATGGTTATTGTATAACATTATTTTTTTCATTTTAACTGATTAGTTTTCAGATAGAAAGTCTCGAAATGTATGCATACTGAACATAAAATAAGAAAACAAAGATCTCTGGCTGATATATAAACAATCTTTTGCTATGCCGATTAATATTTTTCTAATGTTTAGTTTATTTGTGCTTCTAGTTTAAAGAAAAAGAAAAAAAAAGAATTCAAATAATCTCAATTCAATTGCAAATACGATTACTTTTTCATTGCCGAAGACTGCACTCCATACAGCATGTTTCATTTAGATACTTTTCTAGTCTTTTTTTCTATACCTACTAATTTTATAGATTAATTTGTTATGAGTAAGTTGTCTTCTTATTTTTTCCTTTTAAGAATTACTATATACATCATTGAAATAACTAAAGTAGAATAATGTCGCAAAATTTTTCTTTGAAATCTTTATAACGTATGTATGTTCATGAATTAGAAGTTATAAACTTTTTATGTAAGAAATAAATGATCGGCATGATGTAATCATGAGGATCATTTTTATTTGTTTTTTTCATGCTCTACGAAAATATCGCAAACAAAATATATAGTTCCATTTAAAGAAACATCAATAACTTTGAAATTTCGTTAAAAAATATCCTTGAGGAAAAATCCTTTCAGCTATTAGAGTCCTCACACCCCTTTTTACAAAAGTTCTACTTCTTCCTTTGCAGTGTTTTTTTTTTTAATACGATTGTAAACAAAGGAGATATTCAGGTGATCCCATTTAGCTGAGATACCCTGTATATAATACAGAATCACGAAGAGTTATTTATTGTTTTTACGTAAATGATAAATGGGTCAATCCTGACGATTCGCATTCGCAACTCTTAACTACTGAGCGTGACCTCAGTGTCGTGACATTTTCTTATTTGTAATCTTCGCTCTCTCTTTGTATATATGTAATTCTTATTTACATCTTTTCATTCACGCGTGCTTAAGTCGTTGATTCTTAACAAATGCATTACATATATAGATATATATATAAAGGTAAATTTAATTTAGTATTTCTTTTTTTTTTTTTTTTTAATATAAAACTAAATACTTTTTTATTTTCTAAAAAAAAATTGTTCAATATTTTGTTTGTAAAACCGATTTGATTGCAGGTAATTTTATTTTATCGCGCCAAATGTCACGTGTTTTGTACGATCGACGCGAGATATAGCGGAATAACTAACAATGGTGTTAAAAACAGACTTTTCCCGAAGAGCAAATAAATAAAACCATAAGAATGCTAGCCAGGCACCTTAACAGCAAAAAAAAATAAAAAAGTGCTCTTAATTGCACACTATTTGCTCAATTTTATTTTATCAAATATTATTTATTTATCGTTAATAAGTTGAAAATAATTATTATACTGTGAATAATTATGAAATGGCGACGTCATGAGTGGGAGATATGTTATACACATGCGCAACCACAAATTCAAGGAGAAAAATGAAAGTAAAGTTGGTATACCGGCAGGGGATATATTTAAAGTTGATTTCCAAAGTTCTTTACACTACCTTATAGGTTTGTACTTTTTGCTGCATTTGAAATTTGTTTTTGCTGCATTATGTGTTATTTATATATATATATATATATATTATATATTTTTTTTAACCTATTGTCTGGGTAGCGTTACGTACTGTCGTTGTCCGGTTCGCAATGATAAATTTAAATTATGCGTACATACGTGTCACCATTACTGATAAATACTTTTTAAATGAGCGCTGTGTCGCACAAGGACAGATATCGCGAAATGTAGAACAACTATCGACAGGGAGCTTGTCAAAGATAATCTTTTTTCGTTCTTACTCCAACTTTGCTAAACTTTTGTTTTCCTTAAAGACTAATTGTCCAACCAAAAAATATTTATTGCTTTTCATAATAATAATAATTGTGTACAGAAAAAAATGTTAGGATATCAGTCGATAAAAAAAAAACAATGTTTGCATAAATAATATCTATTTGATCGATCGTCGGGTAATACCGACGAAGTTGAATTTTTTCAAGATACTTTAGGTGTAAATCGGCCATTACGATGTCGCCTTTGTATAATAATGGCGGCGTTCTAAGATATGATTATAGTATATATATATAAATTTTTAAATAGAAATATTAATCAAATTTTAAATATGATTTATAAATAAAGATTTATACAAAAAAATCCGAAATTTTATTCGAATTATTTGAGATAAATTTTGATACCAACCAGATGACACTGGTTCTTTTAACATTGTTTTTAAACGACAAAATGAATTCAATGATATTCCAATGATCGGTAATACAATTTCTTTATGAAAATATAATAGTCAACCAAATGAATACAATTAGAAAATATCCTATACGATCAATCAAATTTGAGTTTAGTAAACGTCATAAAACTAAAATATATCGTGAAAATTCTTCAGTGTCTTCAATATACACGTTGGTAAGAATAAACCAACGTATGAGTTTACATGCCTGGGTTCTATGTTTTCCCGAGAAGGTAGCACGGTTATCAATTCACTTTGGACATTGGAAAAATATTATTACAAGTTCTCGAGTTGAGATCGATTCTACACATACACGGGCGCGCCCACATTCATGTATACAAACGTGCGCACGCGTATACACACTGTACACATAGATCGATTAATGTAAAAAAAAAAAAAAAGATATGATTTAGTATAAAAAAAACAATGGTTTGCAATCTTTAAAAAAAATTATTTTGGTAAAAAATTATTTTATCGTTACATGTGTGTGATCTTTCAAATAGAGTAACTTCATCATAAGGATTCTGTCCATAAAACCACAAATAACACGGAGATATATTTTGGGGATCCGTAAATTTGAAGATAAATTAGTCAGGAAACATGGAAAAAATTAGATATTGAGAAAATATCCTCCCTTTTCCTCGCCCTTAATTTAAAATAAAAATAAAAATATAATCTTACAATTAGTAGAGAGAAAAGCAAGACTGTCGTCGTAGAGACGTCGATAAAGATTTAATCAGTATTAGAAGCATGGTGTATAGTATTTGATAGAAATCGGACATCGTTGCGCTAGTATGGTCTCGGTAGAATGAACCTGATTGTGAGATTGGATCGATGCGGATTTTACTTGACTCTTTTATTGTATATGTAATGTGTAAACGGAGATGCGTATCTGATGTGCGTACTTGTGCGTGTGTGTGTTTGCGCGCGCGCGTATGGTGAGTGAGTGAGTGAGTATGTGTCACGTGTTTGTGCAAATGGCGCCAACATTCCCATCGTTCGACTACAAGTACGAGCCATAAAACAGCGAAGAATGGCACGCGCTAGAGTGGCCTATGTATTACATGTGTAGGTGGCGAGAAAGCACAACTTAAAATTCGATATTTATGTATATGTCTAACGACGATTAGAAATTATTACTTATTACATATATACCATACATGATACCCCTCCCCCCCCCCATATACAATAAATGTATTATAAAAGTATATATATAAACGTTGTATATACAGGGTGTCAAAGGTTTTCGAACAAACATTGTTAACGTAGTTCACGTTCAAAAAAAAAGAAAAAATTGTATGTATAAACACATAGGTCATTTAAGGCTTTATTTTAAAGTTATAATATAAATTGTGTGAAACTTTTTAAATGTGCTACTCAAAGATGATGTTTAGCAGTTCTGCATAATTTTTTTTACTTTCTTGGAGTGATTCAACGTATTCTTCTCTGAACAATAGCTTAACCACCCTACTAGATTTTTATATATGGGGGTAACTAAAACAAGAAGTTTATACAACTGAGATAGCTACACTTGATGTTATGGTTGAATGAATTAGGGATACAGAAATTAATAGAAATCGACAAAATATTCACCATGTCTTAAATGGCATACTATGAGGTATCAAATTTGTATTCGCATAGGCGGGTAACATTAGTGTAGGGGTAAAATTCTGATACCCTGTAAATAATATATATATATATATATATGTTTAATTAATTTACTTTATAAATAATGTGTCAGAATTTTTAATTAATAGTTTATATTTAAATAAATAATAATAGTACTTTTTATTGAAAATGTGCTTAGTATTTCATAAAATTTTGATTGAATTTCATCTAATTGTAATAAATAACATTTAGTAGAGTATTTTTCTATTGAAAATATTTAGTATCTTATATTATTATATATCTAAATAAATAACATACAATGGGTATTCATTGTATTGAAATTTTTTAATACATTATGTTTAAATAAAAATCATGCTAGAATATTTTTGATTAAAAATTTCGACATTATTTATTAGCTAATTCAATATATGTATATATGTTTTTTCATAGTGCATTCTCATTTGAATATCCATGCGCCCACGGCGTATTTGCACTATGTTGAATGCCGTATAATAAGCTTTTAATAGATCTCGTATCGATGATACCGCAAGCACGAGGTCTTTCGATCTTTCTTGACTACGTCACTTTACAATCTAATTACCCTTTCAATGTCCTGCTTATAATTTTTATCTTATTTGTCTAATGTCTTAATGTCTATTTACAGGTAAATCTTATATTAAACAGATTTAATAATAGTTTTTTTACAAAATATTTATCTTTGTTTTGCAAGGATGCAATGTAAAATGTTTTTAATACGAGTATATCTAATGTTTTATTTGTTTTTATAGGGTTATTCAATAAGATAATTTCGGAATTTTTAGTTACCCTATTTAAATAATTAACATTAGTATTTTCTATATTGACAATTCTTACATTATTTATTGGTACAACATAATATAACAATATTATATATATAACGTATAACTAAAAAAGTGTTACGAACTTTCGATGTAAGACAATAAATAATTTAGTGTGGTTATAAAATCAACTAAGATTTTTAAAACGATATTACAGTATGTTACTTTTGGCTTGAATGACATTGAAGGCTTAATTACTATGATGTATTACACATCGTCAATGGAAATACCATTGTTTCGTA